TAATGGCCAAACAGAAAAGAGTAAAGAAGCAAGAATTCAAAAAAATGAGGAGAGGCTTAGGAACCTCCAGGACATCTTTAAACGTTCCAACATTCAAATTATAGGGGTACCAGAAGGGGAAGAGTCATGAGTGGAAACCTTATTTGAACAAATAATAAAAGAGAACTTACCCATTCTGGCAGAGGAAATAGACTTCCAGGAAATCCAGGAAGCTCAGAGAGTCCCAAAGAAGTTGGACCCAAGAAGGAACACACCAAGGCACATCATCATTACATTAGCCAAGATTAAAATGAAGGAGAGAATCCTAGAAGCAGCAAGAGATAAGGGGACAGTCACCTACAAAGGACTTCCCATCAGACTGTCAGCTGATTTCTCAAAAGAGACCTTACAGGCAAGAAGGGGCTGGAAAGAGGTATTCCGAGTCATGAAAACCAAAGACCTACAACCAAGATTGCTCTGTCCAGCAAAGCTTTCATTTAGAATGGAAGGACAGATAAAGTGCTTCTCAGATAAGACCAAATTCAAGGAGTTCATCATCTCCAAGCCCTTATTATATGAAATGTTAAAGGGACTTACCTAAGAAAAAGAAGATAAAAAAGATGAACAGTGAAAGGACAGCAAACTCACAGTTATTAACAACCACACCTAAAACAAAAGCAAATTAAGAGGACAGCTGGATCAGGAGTGAATCATAGAAATGAAGATCACGTGGAGGATTAGCAACAGGGGAGTGGGAGAAGGAGAAGGGGGGAAAAGGTACAGAAAATAAGTAGCATAGACAGTAGATAGAAAATAGAAAGGGGGAGGGTAAGAATAGTAGGGGGAAATACAGAATCTAAAGAATTTGAGACACGTGTTCATGAACTAAAGGGGGGAATGGTGGGGGAGGGGCATGCAGGGTGGAGGGGAATGAAGGGGGGAATAGAACAAATGTAATGGCATAATCAATAAAAAAGTTAAAAAAAGAAATTATTGAGTTGAAAAGTACAGTAACTGAAATGAAGAATTTACTAGAGAGGCTCAATAGTAGATTTGAACTGGCAGAAGAAAGAATTGGTAAAATTTAAGGCAGGTAACAGAGATTATGCAATCTAAAGAATAGAGAAAAAAGATGAAGAAAAATAAGTAAAGCCTCCAAGAAATATGAGATATTGTTAAGCTACCAACCAAAATATGCAAAACGGTAGTATTGAAAAGAGAGGAGAGAAAGGAACAGAAAAAAATATTTGAAGAAATACTAACTGAAAACTTTCCAAATTTATTGAAAAACTCTAGCCTACAGCCAGTAAGCTTAACAGATTCCAACTAGGTTAAATGCACAGGCTCTACAAACAGACACTGCATAGTAAAAAGTGCTCAAGTCTAAGAGAAGGAAATGTTGAAAGCAGCAAGAGGAAAATGACTCATCACTTAGAAGGGAATCCCAGTAAGATTAACAGCTGGTTTCTAAGCAAACACAATGGAAGCCAAGTGGCAGGATAACTTATTTAAAGTGTTTTTTAAAACCCACTGTTAACCAAGAATCCTATATCCTACAAAGCCTCAGATTCTCTCTGAGTTCTAGGTTGATGGAGGTGACTTCACGGTAGACATGGCTATTTGCAAGTCTCAGACCCATCATTTCCCAAGCTGTCCTCCTCCTCATCTTCCCCACCCCCATCCTAAGTGTGCCTCTGCCACCCTGCTCCGCACCTCAGTGAATGGACCACCCTCCACACAGGAGCTCATTCCATACTCCTGCTCCCACAGCCCCAACCCCCAAATGCAAAGTCGCTCCCCGCAACCTCCCTCTGTTGTTGTCCTTCACCTCATTTTCTTTACCAGCTTCTCAACTGTTCTGCCTCCACTTTGTCCTTTTTCTGACTCATGATCCCTACAGTGGCAAGAAATATTTTTCTAAAATGCAAATCAGATCCTGTCTCTCATACACACACACCCTTCCAGGTTTCCCGACTGCCTTTCTCATGGCAGGGGGCAGGGGGCAGGCAAGGCCCTTTCCTTTCTCTTGTCCCTGCCAACCTGTGTAGCCTACCCCTCTGCTCACTCCACACCAAACTTGCTCTTTTCAAAATGACTTTGCCTGTTTCTGATCCTACCCAGACGTTGTCCACTTTGCGGGGGGTAAAGTTTCTCCCTTTTCTGCCCAGTTAATGCCCACATCCTTGCATTCCATCTAGCGTTCCATGTGAGACATAGAACTGAGCTACCGAGGCCATGAGTGAGATGCTGGTGGCCATGGGTCCCCATGAACAGTCCCAGCCAAGTTGCTTTGACTGTGTGAAGATGGACTTTGTGGTGGGTTGCGCCATGGGCATGGCAAGTGGGCGCTCTTCGGCATCTTTTCCTGTACCATGATTGGAATGTGGGGCCAGGAGGTGATGGGAGGCTTTGGGGACCGAGGCATTAGTGAAACCGTGACGTGGAGTGGTGGCATCTTTGGCACGTTTATGGCTATGAGGATGGGCATCCGGTGCTAATCAGGGCAATGGTTGCCCACAACTACCCCATCCCATCAGTCCCAGCCCATGTACTATAATAAAGATTTTGAGTAGTTAAAAAAAGAAATGCACATCCTTTAATACACAAGCTTAATGATGGCCTCCTCCAGAAAATCCTCTCCCAATTCTCATGCTGGGTTAAATCTTATTAGATCTTGAGAACACTGGACCGCCTTTATCACACTGCATTATAAGTTTTAAGTTTTCTTTTCCTTAAAAATTGTTTCAATCCCTGGCTGGTGTGGTTCAGTGGATTGAGCGCGGCCTGTGAACCAAAGGACCATGATTCGATTCCCAGTCAGGGCACATGCCTGGGTTACAGGCCAGTTCCCAGCAGGGGACACATGAGAGGCAACCATACATTGATATTTCTCTCCCTCTCTGATTCCCTTCCCCTCTAAAGATAAATAAATAAAATCTATCTATCTATCTATCTATCTATCTATCTATCTATCTATATTTTTCAAACATTTTATTTACTTGTTTCTTATTTATCTAGCTTCCTTACTAGAGTGTTTACCTGTATCTCCAATAAAGAGCTCAGTACCCAGTACGTAGTAGATGCTCAATAGGTGTTTGGTGAGTGAATGTTGAATGCATGCACAGAGGAGTGCGGTAGGAAACAGAAAGAGAAGTTAAGTGGTTCTTACGATGACCCAGGAGGGAGGTGACAGGGCCAACACCAAGGCTGGGGCAGCAGGGTGAGAGAACAGTGGGGCTGATAAAGACACTGCCTGAAACCCGCAGCACAGGCTTACACCACAATACTGAGCCCGTGTGGCTTGCGACCCTAGTTCGGCTGGTGCAGATGAGCACCCCATGGGTAGTGGCTGCTCTGGAAGCTGCCCTGTGAGCAGGGATGAGGTGTGGATTAGTTGGTGGGGACAGGAAAGGATCAATGCAGCTATCCGCTGGCCAGCACACTGCCTCTCCCACCCTACCAGGGACACTTCACCATCTGGGCACAGCGACAGGTTTGTGTGTCAAGCAAGGACTAAGCTTGGAGTCATGCAGAGTGGAAGGATGATGGGGAACACCCATCTCGTTAGGGATGAACCTTGAAAATATTATGCTAAGCATAGTAAGCCAGACAGAAAACGACAAAGACTGTATGGTTCCACTTATAGGAGTTACTTAGCATAGTAAAACTCATAAAGACAGAAAGAGAAATGGCAGTTAACAGGGACTGAGGGGAGGGGAGTGGGGAGTCTGCTTGATGAGAACAAAGTTATTCTTGGGGAAGATGAGAGAGTTTGGAGGCGGGTGGCGGTCACGGTTGCACAGCGATGTGACTGCCTTGAATGCCATCGGATCAGACACTCAAAAAGGGGGAAGTGGTAAAGTTTGTTATGTATATTTTCCAATAAAAAATTCTAGTAACCAAAAGAAAAGAAAAAAGAAAAGAATATCTGAGATTGAGGGGGTGAGTGGCAAGTGAGGCGCAGACTGGAGGGAGGGGCTGGCGGGCCGGCTGTGCTCCCCAGGCCTGAGCAGGAGCCAGTCCGGTCACCTCAGAAAGAGGTCACGCAGGCCTTGCAGCCTTCGGAAAAGCACCGGCCCGAAGACTGCAACACTCCCCTCACGCATGACCGGTTCCCTTTCTCCTCCCCTTGCAGTGGCAGCTCACCAGTGTGCTGAGGGAAGAGCAGGGGGCTTGGCTCTGGAATTCTCTGAACTGGGAGCCGGTGAGAAGGTGATCTGGGCCAGGAGAGACATTTGCGCCAGGCCCAGCTTGTCCCAGCCTTGGGTCCTCTGTAATAAACACGCCCCCAGCCGTCCGCTTGGGCTCTGGGCGTGCCTCCAGCCTCCAGCACTCAGGTTTGACAGAGGCTGCAGCTGGATGTTGGCCTGCTGGGTCTTTGGCTGTGATGGTGGCTTATTGTTGAGGCACCTTTGGCCTGGGCAGAGAAGATAGTAAGTTGGATCCATCCTACTTTCCCCCATTCCACTCACTGATGGCTCCATGCCCTCACTGACGGCAGGGAGCAAAGCGGGGAAATTCCATTAGTGAGGCCTTGGAAGGGAAGACAGGGCACCCAGGGGAGGGACAGGCATGATTCCAGGCCCTCAGGAGCCATGGTAGTTTTCTGACCTCAGAGAAACAAACATCCCAGAGAGGAGTCCAGAACTGACTCTATCATAATTCCAGATACAGGAGTTTCCTAATTCCCACTGCCTGACACCGACCGGATGCCCTTTTTGCTGCCTTAAAGGTCAGCAGCAGGGGCAGCAGCAGAGCCGGAAGCTTCCTGAGCAGCATCCGGGCCAGTGATGTCCCATCCCAATGATGTGGTCGCCGATAGCTGGTTAGGGCAGAACAGGACCAGACGCCCATCGCCATCCAACCTGTAGCTTGTCCACATACCGTTATTACCCTGAGTTCCCCCTTTTACCCCTAGTGGTGGGGGGAGGGGATTTGTCTGGGGCTGGCTCTGCCATCTTGTTGTGTCCCTCCATGATTTTTTTTTTCTGCAGGAGATGCTCTGGTAAAACAAGTAGAAAATGAATGACAAGATGTTCTGCATTTTGGCGGGCATCTTCTCCATCCTCAACACCATCCAGTTCCTCATCTTTGACTTGAATGAGGTTGTGTTCTTTGGCTACGAGGACAGGTACAATATCTACGTGGACATAAAGTCTGGTTTAGCTCCTTGGCTCTTGACTGACAAAAAGCCCATCAGCATCAGCCTGTCCGCTATCACCATCAGCCTCAGCATCCTGCTCCTCTACTGTGTCCATGAGAACAAGTACGTGGGGCTGCTGTGCTATGCCTTGTGGATCGTCATCTATGAGGTCACCAGCTTCTGCATGGTCCTGCTCATCAATGCAATGATGAAAGAGCAGTTCAAGGAGCTGGGTTACCTGCACTTGATCTTCCAACTCTCCCGTATGTTCCTGCACTTCTTCTGTCTGCCCTTTATCATCAAGTATATGTACACGATTTATAAGGACCCCAAGACTTTAAGCAAGATAAGCCGCCGCCGACACTCATCCATCAGTACAATCGACTCGTGGCCGGTAATGGTGCACCGCAAGATAAACTGAACAGAGCCAGGAAGAAGGGGGGGGCAGTGCCCCGCAGCAGTAGAGGTCCCCTTTCCCTGCCTGCTTTCTGTTGGCTCTCCTTACCTTTTCAGAGTTCCTGAGTTTTATGCATTTAAGAGTGATTCTTGGGGGAGGGAGGATATTGAGGGCATGGATCGATTACTGTGCATGTGTGTTTTTATGGCTTGTTTTAGCATTGAATTATACATGTGTTTACTTAACCATTTCAGTGGTGCATACTCTTGTCTTTCATGGTCCCTCCTTTCTGCATGTCCTTAGTTTCTAGTTTGCTCGTGTGGATTGCCCACAGATGCCTGCTTCTGTCCAATAGAACTTTCTATGCTAATAGGAATGTTCTGCCTCTGTGCTGTCCATGAGCTACATGTGGCTACAGAATGCTTGAAATGTGGCTCTTACAACCCAGGACTTTTCAACACTTCAAGTCATTTTGACTTCAGTAGCCACATGCGGCTGTCTTGTCACTGCCACACTGGAGAGCGTGGTCAGGCAGAGCCTCTCTCACCCCTGCATGGGGACACGGCAGGAACCACTCTCCAGCATCAGGCATCACTCTGCTTCCCTCGCACTTTTCAGAAAACACTTCCTCACGTTGGCTTGTAACATGGCAAGAAGAATGCCCATTCAGGGAAGCTCCAGAGTTCTCAATTTAAGCTCTATGGACACTTCGGATGGGATAATTCTGTCTTTTGGAGGGTCGTGCTGTGCATTGCAGTGTGTTTAACAGCATCCCTGGTCTCTGCCCACTAGATGCACTAGCATCCCCTCACCATTGTGACAAGCAAAAACATCTCATTGCTGCCCTGGTCAGGTAGCTCTGCTGGTTAGAGCATTGTCCTGATACGCCGAGGTTGTGGGTTCAATCCTCAGTCAGGGCACATATAAGAATCAACCAATGAACATATAAATAAGTGGAACAACAAGTCTCCCTCCCCTCTGTCTTCCCTCACCCTTAAAAAATCAATAAAAGTTTAAAAAATACATCTCATTGCCAAATGTTCCCTAGGGGACAAAATTGCCCCAAGTTGAGAACCATTATTTTAACTCAATACACCCCTGCGTTGAGAGCTGGGGTGTCGCTACTGCTAACCAATGAAGAGCATCTTTTCTGAGAGCTCTTTACATTCACTGCCGTGCACAGTTTTAATCCTAATGTTTCCATTTTATGGTTTGATAAAATGGAGACTGAAGACACTCGCTGTGTTTTGGTCACATGAGTGATGTGACCAAGGGAGCATAATGGTACAAGAAAGGTTTGGATCTAGGTAATCTGACTTCATACACACACGTCCTATTTGGTCCCCTGAAGCGCTCTTATTTTTACCAAGATTTTTTAAAAATGGGGGGACCTCCAATAAATACCTTAGGGTATTTATTTTTCTTTCAAAAAATGTTGGGAGTTAAGTCAAGGGTCACTGTTTGGACCACATCCCTCGAACCAGGAACATAATGACCCACTCTTAATGAACACTTTATGAGTGCTGGGTGCTATTCTAACATTTCCCTCAGTTCTTTCCACCATCCCATGATGGGTTTGGATTCAGGCCAGTTCCCAAAATGACCACCAGGTGGCAGTCAGCAATAAGCTTTTTGCCTGGGCCTGTTTTGAAACCTTGGCCAGATCCTCAAGGGGTGGCTTATTTGGGATTTAAGGAGACTCAAGCTGATGATCAAGGATTGATGGTGTGAGTCCCTGCCCTATTCTCACAAGGTGTGCTTTGCCTTGTTATGACAAACAAAGAATAAAACCTGAGCCCACTTCAGGGTTCTGCTCCCCCATCCCAGCTGGGGTGGTAATGGCAGACTGGGAGACTGAAGGCCTGTGTAGAGAAGAGGTGGAGGGAGGGCAGAACTGTGAGCTGCCTGGTGCGGGACAATTTAAGGGGCTCAGATTCAGGCTGGTGCCCCTTTACACTGGTACTTCTCCAACCTGTTGTTTGCATCTGCCTCCACTTCCTGGCCTCCCATTCTGTTTAGATCCCACTCCACTGAAATGAGACTGCTCTTGGCAAGGCGATCTCCAGGAGGCACTGCCCAGCCCCAGTTCAGTTCTCAGCCTTCTCTTTCAGGTCCTCTTCAGCCTATGCCAGCTGAACCCTCCCTGTTTTGCAAACAGTCTCTTCTCTTAGCCTACAGACACCAGGGGTCCCTTCGCCCTCCTTAGCCTTTGCGGTGCTCCAGGTTCCGTCCCTGTCCCTCTTCTCTCCTCTGTCTCAGTTACTTAACAGCTCTCACCAAGGCCCATTGCAATAATCCCCGTGACGACTGCAGCCCGGACCTCTTCCTTGAACTGTACAATTGATGCAGTTGCTTCCTTGTGGTAACAGGTTCCTCGAACACAGTTCCCAACAATCCCTGCACACTCGTCACCTCCCCTTCCATGTGGCCTGGGCCCCCAACAAACCCTATCAGCTCCATCTTCAATATGGACCTACCATTTCCCATCACCTCCACTGCCACCACCTAGCTTAAGCCGTCACCATCTTTCGCCCAGGCCACTGCAGCAGCCATGTACTAACTGGTGTCCCCAACGCCGCCCTCATTCACTCTATGCCATTTCCCCACCCGGAAGTCGAAGGAATCCTGCTGAGCCCTTAGTCAGATTGTGTCTGTCCTCTATTCACGCGCTACCTGTCCTCCCTCCGCACTCAGAGGCCTGAGTGCTTACCTGTCGTGCCAGGTGCTTGGCGATCCGGTTCCCTGTCATCCCTGCAGTCTCCTTTCTAACGACTTTGGCCCTCTGCTCCAGCCACACTGACTTCCTTGCAGCTCCTCTTACATACCCGGCACACTCTGGCCTCGGGGCCTTTGCACAAGCTATTCCTTTGTCCTGGAATGTTCTTACTCTGGATAACCACTGGCTTCCTCTTGTGTTTCTTCCAGATGTCTGCTCAAAAGTTGTCAGAGAGACCTTCCTACCAGCCTGTGTGAAAGAGCCCCTCCCACCCTCCTATCACCTGACTTACCTCTCCATCCCCCCAAAATATGAGCACCATATTTATTCGTCGGTGTTTTCCTAGCACCTAAAACAACACCTGGCGTATAACAGGTGCTCAATAAGTATTTGTGGAGTGGATGGACACAAACCCTCAGCAGAATCGAACGGCCTGCTGTTCCTTGTTTTCTAAATGGTGGTTACGGCAGATGGGCTGGTGAGGGGCAGATTCCTGCTGCTCTCCAGCCACCCCTTCTTGGTCCCTCTTCTCTCACTCATTTCTGGAGTTTCCCGTGAACACTGTAAAGGTAAAACACCTGCAGAGGACCTGATTTGGGCTTTCCCGTCCCATTCCTCTTCCCTAATCCCTTTCCCTTGCAACAGCTGCTGACCCTGAAAACACCACCTCACCTCCCAGCGCTCCCTCGCCGAGCCTAATACAAACCTTGGAACAGTGCAGGGGCACCTGGGAAGGACAACACTCTGAGAGCTGCCACGAACACCTGTGAAGAGCTCCAGCTTTCCACCCTCCCTTTCTCACTAGGTTTGCCCGTCCTGAGCTAGGAGTATGGAATACCTTGGGAGCAAGGCACAGCCCACACTCCCAGGGGCTCCCAGCCCACTGAGCAGTCACTCAGGGCCACCTATATCCAGTACGATGGGTGCTGGGAGCCACGGGACAAGTCCCAACCCTTGGAAGGTAGAAAGTCAGGATGTCTTCCTGGAAGAGGGAACTTTTAGGCTGAGTCCCCAGGAGAGAGTATGATTTAGCTCTGAGAAGGTGGGGAGGAATTGGGAAGGTGGGAACCGGGGAAGGTGCAGATACCCCTGGGATAGTCACGCCGTAAGTCCTTGTCTGTCATCTCCACCTTGGGGTGAAGGAAGGGGCTCAGTTCAGGGCAAGATGGTGTCAAAAGAGAGCAAGCAGGCAAGAACTTCCTCAGAGAGAAGGGGGTCTTCCCTTTTTCCCACGGCCTCTCACGGCCTCGTCATTTTGAGCACCTTTCTTTCCCGCCTCACTGCTCTCGCCTGTCACTCAAGGCTTCTTCCAGCAGCGGGTCCCACAGAGGACAGATTTCATTGTGTTGGCTTCTCCCACTGGTTTCAAGATGTGCACACGTTTGTCTGTTTTACTTCTTTTTCCTCATGGCCTCAGGTCTCCATTGTCCCTGCTCCCCCCCCCCGCCCCCGCACTGCTCCTATCCATCAGTTGTTACTATTCTCAGCCTTCGAAGCCCTCTGTTTCTGGCTGTGGTCCTATCTGACTGTTGGTCTGTACGTGGGGACTGGTGCTGTGCTCTTTTTTCCCAGTTGATTTGCCCACCCAGCAAGCGGCCCTTGGAGGCCCCGAGAGCCTGTCCCCGGGGGAGGCGGCTGGCCGCCGGCTGGGCCGCCTCCTGACTGTCCAGACAGCTTCCACGTGTGCAGGCCGCTTGTGAAACCCCGCAGCTTCCTTCCCCTTGCCTTTGCCCCCTCACCAGTCACCAGTGAAATAGAAACTTGTTCAAATGCTCACATTTTTTCCCATAAATGAATAACGTGTTTCTGGGAAATGGGCTTTACAAATGCCTTCTGACTATATTGATTTTGTTTCCTAAACAAGGGCTTGTGTGGGTGTTTGTGCACGTGACTGTGTGTGTTTGTGTATCTGTTTGTGAATACGAACCTTTCTATGTGCATACATTGGCGCCGTGTGTGTATTTCTGCATGTGTGTGTTTGCATTTTGTGCGTGTGTAAAAGGCTGAGTTAAACAATTATTTGGTGATTATCAGAAATAACTTACATATTAGAAAAAGAAATAATTTCCATATTATAGATACCAAAAGGTCAAATTTCTTTTCAAAATCTCCCGCCTCCTACCAAAACTGCCATTTCCCTTCGGAAATATATCTGTGTGGACAACACTAGCTTGCATCTTATTTAAAGGGGGGTGTTGGTTTCCCGCTCACCCCAATACCGTGTGTTTTGTGAAAGACCTGCAGAGTGGAGGTGGGCGCCCTCTTCCTTCTCAGACAGAGTTGTAGGGACGGGGACGCTTTTCGGAGGGGTTGGGAGACAGCGGTTGTAGGAAGTGCCCGGGCGACTAGAGAGCCTACCAAATCTGCAAACAGACACTTGGCAACTCCTTTTCTTTTTAAATTAGTTAATTAATTAATTTATTTATTTTTAGAGAACGGGGATGGGAGGGAGAGAGGGAGGAAGAGCAACACTGATGATCGAGAGAAACAATGATCAGTTGCCTCTCGTACACACCCCAGCCGGGAACTGAACCCACAACCTAAGCAAGTGCCCTGACTGAGGACCAAACACACGACCAAGGCGTATTCCCTGACTGGGAAGCGAACGGGCGACCTGTCTCTTTGTAGGAACATCACCCAACTAACTGACCCACACTGGCCAGGGCTTGGCAGCTCCTTCTCAGATTTTCCCAGCTCCTTGTGCCTTCCTCTGCCCTGGCCGAACCTGCTGCCAGCTTCCCTGACCGCAGCCCGCCCCACCCACCCTAACCTCCCGTTTTGGTGAAATGCTATTTTACTCAGCATTTGATAATATTTGTACAATAACCACCCTCCCTTCCCTCCTCTGACATCCTGGAACACATCTACGCTTCCTAAACATGTGCATTCTTTCTTTTTCTTTCTTTCTTTCTTTCCTTCTTTCTTTCTTTCTTTCTTTCTTTCTTTCTTTCTTTCTTTCTTTCTTTCTTTCTTCCTTCCTTCCTTCCTTCCTTCCTTCCTTCCTTCCTTCCTTCCTTTCTCTCATTTATTCATTTATCAAAATGTGTGCCTTGTCAACTTTTTGCTGGGCATTACTGTAACAAGTAAGGCAAAACAAACAGACAAAAATAGGGTGCTGTCTTGGTCCTGAATCAAGAAGGGAGTTATTATAATATTATATAATAAATGAAACGATAGAGGTGAGTCCAAAGTGCTGTTATCCTATTTCTCAGGGATTTGTTCAGCAAATGTTTATTGAGCACATCTCTATATCAGGCCCTGTTCTGGATGTTAGAGCTATAGGGGTAAAGAAAACAGATAAAATTCATGCTCTCACGAAACTTTTGTTCTAAATAGGAAGACAATTTATAAATAAATGAACATCTAAGAATATGTCATAATCTCAGCTAGTGATAGGTGCAAAGAAGAAAAGGAAACAAGGGGATACGACATGGTTTTACGCCAGAGGGTGAGGCCTAGCCATTCTTAATAATCCCAGCCTCTTGTGACTGACTGTCTCGGGAGCAGGCCCAAAGCCTCAAGGAAGGGACCTCCAGGAGGCCTTGGATGAGGAATGTCTCTCTGAAGGTGACGCTTAACAGGACTGTGGGAACAGCATTCTGAGCAGAGGGAACAGCAAATGCAAAAGTTCCAAGTAGTGGGAACACTTTTGTTGTGATCAAAGAACAGTCAGAAAGCCAGTGACTAGAGTAAGTGAGGAAGGACACGGGAGTGGGTCAACAGGTCCAGCATCCTTTACAGCCCCTCCAGTGCATCTTCCTGAGCCAAATGTTCCCTACTGTCTTACAGCTGTGGTCCGAGAGGCTGGATGAGGGTGTGAATTGGGGACATTTCACACCCTCATTCCCCATGGGAATGAGGCAGAAGCCATCTTCCTGCCGCCTTGACTGCAGCTGGCAAACAAGGTCACGGAGCCACCCTGGCCCTCTGCGGCAATGTCCCAGCGTTCGGTCACTAGATTTGTAGGCAGCTGCAGCTTCCCGATCTCTGGGTTGCTGTGGGGTGTTTTCTGGAAATGAACAGTTCCCAGGGTGACCTCCTGATCCCCAGCTTCCTGAGGGGGGAAATGACAGCAGCTCTGCTGGCAGGCAAGTTCAGGGGGTCATACAGGAGTCATTTCTGCAGGCCCAGCACCAGTTGAAGGAACCTATTCCCCTACAGTCGATCCCTTTCTGACTCAAATACCTGGACTGGCCTCTGGTTTCCTGCAGCTGGTCCTGAGCGGTGCAGAGTTTGGGACACCCGGCTGTCACGTCTGAGGGACCCCACCATTCAGCAGGGAAGAAGCTGTCTACCCCTGCTTCCTGTGTCCCAGGGCAGAGCCAACTCCCTATTCACAGCAAAACTTCTCCCCTCACTACCTCAGGGTAGTTCAACTCGGTCAAAGACGTGTTAGCAGGGGTTTTTTTAAATTTAATTAAATTTGGAGGTTATATTGGTTAATAAAATCACACAGATTTCAGGTGCACTGTTGTTAGTCCTAATAGACTGTAGAGAAAGTCTACAGGTTTCTCTTTGTCTGCTGCGCTCGTTGAACTGCTCAGGGAATTTGAGGAGATGGGCAGGCATCGTTTCCGCTGGCTGTCTCCCCGAGTCGGTTACACTGGGCCAGGTGTTCGGGACCTGCCCTTTGTCTCAGTTCCCACAGGCCAGCCAGATGTCGAAACGACGCTTGGGTTTCCAGGTCTGCCAGCTGAGGCGACACCTACGGAGCGAGGCCTGTACAGAACACGCTGAGGGAGACGTAAAGCTTCCCTCAGGATGTCAGTGGTCTAGTAGAGAGAAAACAGACCCTAAAAGCTAATGCTGATCGAGTGTTTGCTAGGTACTGCATCAAATGAATGCACCAATTTAATTCTCTATGAAATAAATCATATTGTTTCCCCCATTTTATGGATGAGGAAGCTGAGGCCTGGGAAGTATAAGTCACTTTTCTAGAGTCACATACAAAGTGGCACCACTAGAATTTGAGCCCAGGCTGCCCTGCTCCAGGGCTCCTCAATTAGTTGATTACAACGAGGCAGTGTATGCAGCCCAAGGAAAACATTAGGAGAGCAAAGCAGAGGTAGAAGTGACTCTGCCTAAGGGAGTCGGGTCAGGCTTCCCCTCCTGTGACAGAACTGGCCCGTCTGGTCAACCCAGCAAACGTGCATTGGACCTGGACTTTGTGCTGGGCCTTGAGAAAGGTCCTGGTGATACAAAGATGAATGAGACCTGCTTTTCTGCACTTGAGGCACTCGCAGAGGAGGGGAAGGTGACAGCTAACATTACCTGGGATGCAGGATAATAAGGGGTTCAGCACCAAGGAGAGAATCAACACTGCAGCTGACTTAGCAATAAGAGAAGGCTCACTAGAGGGGATACACAAGCTGGGCTTTGAACAGCGAAGGTGGTTTGCCAGGCCAATAGTTTGGGTGGGGACGGGGGAGGTAAGGGGGGCAGAAGGCATCCCAGATGGAGGGAACACCATGGCCAGTCGGGTTCTGCAGTGCTGGGGGCAGCAGCCATCGAGGAGGCTGCAGAGTGAGCAGCAGCCCTGCCTTGAGACACCACTGTGCTGTGCCAAGGGCAAGTCTGCCCTCTGCTCCGGGGGAGTGTTTTTCAACATGAGGGTTATAACCCATTCAAGTATGGTGGTCAATTTAGCAGGTCAAGTCCAGTATTTTAAAAATGAAAAAAAATTGAGTGAACTAAGATTAAAACAGAGAAATTAGAGAGACCCAATACTTCTATATGAAGAGTAAGTACAATTTTGTACAAATGTTTCAGTTTATACAATGTGGCAGATACTGCAAGTTGTCTATCAACCCATTCTCCTCTGCTCATTTTGTTTTTTTTAATTTTATTTATTAATTTTAGAGGGAGGAAGGCAGAAGAAGAGAGAGAGGAAGAGAGAGAGACATCAGTTTGTTGTTCCATTTGTTTAGGCACTCACTGGTTGCTTCTTCTATGCTCCCTGAGCGGGGATCGAACCCAAACCCTGCACTGGGAGGACACTCTAACCCACTGATCTGCCCAGCCAGGGCATCTCCTCTCTTCATTAACAGATGCCCCCAAGTGTTGGTACATGGCTTCCCAGCTAGAGACAATATACTCCAGCTTCCCTTGCAGTGAGGTGTGGCCATGTGACTGACTTCTCACCAACGGAGTACGAGCAGAGGTGGTTTGTGCCACTTCTGGGCTCTGCTCCTCGAAGGAATGGCCTGCTCTCCCGTGCGTCTCTCCCTTTTCCCACGGGCTGGGAAACAGACATGGCAGTAGGAGCTGAAGCCGCCACCTTGGGCTCAGCCTTGGAAGCTGCATATGATGGTATTAAAGCCTTGAAAAGCACACCCCCGGACCACAAAAGAAAAGACAGGTTATATGAAAGAGAAGTTAACTTCTGTTTTACTAAAGACACACTTGCGCCCTGGCTGGATGGCTCAGCTGGTTGGAGCATCGTCCTGTACACCAAAAGGATGCAGGTTCAATTCCTGGTCAGGGCACATACCGGTCAGGGTGTGTACAGGAGGCGACCAATCAATGTTTCTCTCTCACATCAGTATTTCTCTCTCTCTCTCTCTCTTTTCCTTTCTCTCTCTCTCTGAAATCAGTAAAAAATATCCTTGGGTGAGGATTTTTTACAAAAGACATACATTTCTGTTTCATTATCTCAGACCACTCCCTATAACACACACTTGTTTATATGTACATATACGAG